TTTTTTTTTTTTTTTTTTTTTTAACCGCGCAACAAATGGTTACGGCAAGTGATGCCAAAATATAAAAAGAAAACTTGTTGCGAATTCAATATATTTATCATCAGCTGATTGTATTTTTACACATATAATATTATGCAACCTGCATGTTCATAAGGTTTGTTAATCACAGTGATTGCAGAAGAATGGAATTCCTTCATTAGCATACTGATTTATTTGTCATCGGTGCATTCTTTAGCCATACTTCCTCGTTTCGTTATTCTTTGTTTAATAAATGTGAGTATTTATTTACGTGTTAATTTATGACGGAATTTGTTAGAACGGAATATTCGCATTTTAAAATGTTTTTCTCTTCTATACATTTTTAAATAATGAGATGTTAAATATTGACAATCATAAATCTGATATATTCTTTTCGAAATCTGGTTATTTTTCTTTTTAATAATAAATATTTTTAAGTTAAAAAAAAAAAAGAAAAGAATATTCGAAAAATCGTATTGCCGTTTATTCGATCGAAATTGATTATAAATTCTTCTATTCCTATAGGAATAATGGAAAATCATGATTTCTCGATGGAAAATATTCTTCGTCGACTAAAGGTTGGCATTAACATACTTTCCAAGTTTTATGCCAGTCGAGAGGAAAAGTACGCCTTTTATAGATTCTCAGACAATGCGTCGATCGGTTCTTTCATTTCCTTTCTTCGATTTCCATCACGGAAAAGTAAAATTGTTTCTGTTAACTTTATATTTTGTTACATTCTTTCGAGTTATGATGAATGTTTGTTTCCTCGAAATACTTTTCAGAAATCTAATTTTAGTCCATCTAATCGTGAAACTAACTATTGGTAAAACTAACTAGCGTTAAAGTTAAAATGACTAAATGCTATTTAAAATTTATTACTAAATTTTATTTTAATCAAATGAATAATATATATTTATATTTAATATAGTACATTAGTATGGCACTTTCCATTTAATTATCTAATATGTATCTAAATAATTTTAATCTATATTTAATTAAATTCTAACCTATTTATAAAAAAAAATGTCTATTATATGTTCTATTTATTATTGTTTTATTATTCTATTAAAATGGAAGTGTAAAAATTATTGTTTACTAGCTATATATATTTCTCAATAAAACATTTTATCATCAAATTTTATATTTCATTTTTATATCAGCAATTTTTTGTAATACTGTATCAATTTTAAAATTTATCAAATTTCTTAATATATATTTTTAATATAATCATTTTATTTTCAGTTTTATCTTCTCAACATATTCAGTGAATATCTGCTAGAATAAGTGTACCAATGTGCATATATTTCAACCGTACACTATATTAGATTACTATTTACTGTTTACACAGTACCATGTATCACTTAAAGCTATTATCTTCATAATAGCAGGCTACGTTATCAAAATATTGGAATATTAAATAACAGTGTCATGTTAGATATTGAAATAAGCATTATAACGATAAGAATATTAGACAACGTCAACATTAACAGCAATGGCATAAAAAACTATCTATGAATATTAATATTATATTGTTTAAAAGTCTATATATATTTATAGTATATCTAATATTAGTCATAATTTAAGTATGTTTGATATTACAATTCACAATAAAATAACAGAATAATTAATATTAATTATTTAATTGTGAATTTTATACATTATGTTTATTATGTTTCGTTACAATGACTAATATGCTTACTATATTTAATCTGAATTAAATGTCAATTTAATAATCTATTTTAGACAAATTATTATGTATATCAAATTATACTATAATATAACTATATATATATAATAATCATATTAAATGCATATATAATCATACATGTCATTTTTAGCCTGTCAATTGCATAATATAAAATCAAATAATATTAAATATAAAATAAAATCAAAAAATTATAACTGAATATGGATATATATTAAATTTTTTTATATGCACCATTATGCACCATTAAGATTTTTCAAGAAAAATAATAAAAAAAAATGTTTCCACTTATCTTTAGATATATAGAGATTAGATACATACAATTTTTTTATAATACATACAATTTTACTTGTTTAAAAATCGATTTTCTATAGCTTGGCAACTATATACTTATAAATTGCCGTTGAATCTGCGAAAGGGGACTAACACGGACAGTAAAAACTGGTCGAACGAGTGCGCCAAGTAAACGTCATTCCTTCCTAGCGTTCTCGTGTCCTCGTAAACCGAGGACGCCTCTTCCCGGTTTTAACCGTCTAACGTTCCATCTTTTTAACGTTAGAAATTGAAATCGAATTGAATTCCGCTTAGAAAGCGCTAGTTTAATAAATGAAAGTAAATTTTACAAAAGAAATGTAATACGCCATCATTAGATTAACGTTTTTAAAACGTTTCAAATCTAAATTTATAATTGTGAAATGTTAAAAATAATCGGTAAAAAAAATAATAATTAACGTAATTTACAATATAATAATAAATGAAATTATTCTTTCAATCGTTTCTTTGTTCATTATTCGTTATATCAACTTATTAAAATACACGTTTTTGTCTATGTGTAATATAGCGCAGGTTAATTTGCATAGGTTAGAAAATTTCATATCAGGGACATGGATATATCGAGGTTAATGATCTTCGCTAAATACTGTATGCAAATTAATTACACGAATATCCTACCTCGTTTCGTTGTAGAATATTGTTGACAGATGATTAATGAACACTTGCAACAGGCTGTCGTTAATTGTTCAAGACTTTTTCGCACTTTTTGCAGAATATACGCCACCAGTCGATTTTTCAACGACCGCCAAATGAAACTGTGGCGCCATCTATCGATCAAATTGGGAATACGAGTGATTCTGCCTGGCCTGGTAGATGGCGTCACAGGGTCAACTTTATTATTAAAAGCGCGATTTTATAAAACTTTATCAAAAATTTTTCTCTTCGATCAAAATCGCTCATAAATAACTGGATGAACGTAAACGAAACACGTATTAAAAATATACCATCCATACTCAATATAATTATGATTTTTAACAAGACAATGTGCTTCTTAATATTTCTTAAACAAAAAATTTAAAATCCTTACACGTATCTATCGTAAAAAGACCATAAAGAGAAAAGAGCTTATTTGCATCGGTCAAAATGGCGGTCAAAAGAAACAAAAAATATAATAATCCCAGATCCCAGAAGCAATCGTTTCACTTACAACCGTCATCGCCGATAAAATACCAGAAAAATTCTTTCCAATCGAATATTTATTCCCATCATAAATAAAATCCACCTTTCCTTCGCTCGATTCTCTTTTCTTCGACTTTCTTATTCTTAATAAATTCTCTTCTTTTCTTTTCCTTCTTTCACTCGTGATTAAAAAAAAAAAAATATTAACTCAAGAAAGATCGTATACGTGGACGAGATCGGTACAATCGAAATTACAGCTTGATGAAAATTGCAAACTACATACGGACGGTTTGTAATCGGTTACCTGGGCAGAGTTGCGAGCACGAGGTACCCTTATCTGACCGTGATAACACGGATCACGATAAGGTAAAGTAAAGTACGTCCTGGCGCCCGCACCTCGAACCAGCCCGATATCATGCGACCTAAATTCGCGAACCTCGAGTTGGTCATCGACTTCGACTGATCCAACGAACACCTGTTTTCGTCGTTGTTCGTGAATCCTACGATCGGATACAAATAAATTTGAATTTAATAAATAATTAGAAATAATAGAAAGAAGTAAAATATCAATCTAGTTTTTTTTTTTTTTTTAAGACACGTAAGCTATTGGAAATTTTTCCGCGTATTAATTTCGATTAAAATTCAGATAAATTGCGATTATTTCTTGCGACGATACGAGTTTGCAATCGAACGCTATTATCGCATTTCCGGAAACAGAGCATTTTTGTTTTCGTGTAAGAAGAAATGAATCGATGAGATGTGACGAAAATATATCGAAATACGTGAGATCGTTTAATTTTCCAGGGAACGATCTCGACAACGATACGATTCGTGGTGCCAATTTGACGAGAAACCTACGATGCTTCGAAATCTCTGTGAAAATTTCTGTGCAAATTTCTCTCAAACGATATCAAAAATAAGAATAAATAATTTATAGAAAACAAATTAGAGATAAAAATTCTATTTTTCAAAAGAAAGTTGAATTTTAATCTAATTCAGATTTCAGATAACAAATTATTTCGACTCGTGATTATGATAAATTTTTCTTTTTTTTTTTTTAAACTCGTGATCGAAACAAAAATTGTTCTCGCACAATTATTTCGTGAAAATTTTCCATTTAGTTTTCAACCGATTGGTTTTTATCAATCGAGCAAGATAAATAAAAAAAATTGCAGAGAAGCGCGCATTAAACGGTGAATCATCGTGAAAATTCGAAACAGAGCTCGCGATTTCGATTGGACACAGGCTGATGTGGGTCAGGCATGGCCCGAACAGATGATATGCCGATAGCGTTTCTGATAAGCGAAGCGACTGACTGATTACGCACCGACGACCTACATCAACGCCACATATACGTCTTTTTGCCTTTTTTCAACGATAACTTCGCTTTTTTCGCAAATCCTCCGTATTTTTCTCAACCATTAGAGATAAAAAAACTATATATATATATATATATGTAATGATTCTCAAGTTTTCTCTTCTTTGATAAATTTGATCATTTAATAATTAAACAGATTTTTTTCGAAATTTTGAAAAACGATAGAACGATCAAAAGTATGAATATTATTTTAAATGAGAATAAAGCAACGATTTTTTTGGAAAAATTATGTTATTCTAGAATTTCCAAAGTATTTCCACGCTAAAAATAAAGAAATTCTTCTCGAAACGACAATTTCAAACGTTTGCCTACTCTAACTCTAAAAAGAAGAGCAAATAACAGCAATGGTATCCATTAAAACTTCCTTCCTAGAATTTCCTACGATTCAAATTAATTCAAAGCCATATAAATTTCTTCCCGCAAAATTTCTACTTCAATGACAAAAATCTCATCGATATCTTAAAACGAAATCCTCTTCTTCTTCTTAGATAGAGAAAAGAAAGAAAGAAAGAAAGAAAGAAAGAAAAAAAAAAGAAAGAAAGAAACGAAAGGAGAAAAGAGGTGCACACCGTCGCGTGTAATACATAGAGATTCGAGGTTACGTAAGAGAGCCGCAAGAGGAATAAAAATACACGGACAGGAAAGGTGGAGGAGGTGAAGAGAGAAAGCGGAGGGCGGTGTGTTTGCCATAGCGTAGAGAAGAGTCGCCTCCTCCGGCTGTCTCGCTGATAAACGGCTGATAAGTGAACCGCTGGTAAATATAGAACGTCCCGATGCTCTCTGCTCGGCCACGTATCGACGAGATGTCTGCGCGCCGGTGTGCGGATATGTCAACGATACGTGCTCTCTCCTACGTGCTCCCACCAACCGATTCAAATTACGTCCCAACGCTCGATTTAACGCTTACACGTTAGATGAACCTATCGATTCATCCGAAACTAGGATTTCTCGATGACGAGATTATCGTGTAAATTTTTACAATTAATTTTTTCAACTCGTTGAAGAATGTAACTTACTGACAAAATATATTTATTAGATATAATAACGATCGATTGAATCCGTTATATTTTCTTGGATAAGAAAAAAAAAAAAATCGAGGATAATGGATAATGGATAAATTCAGATGGTAAATTTTGTCATTACTCGTTAAAGACGATGATTATAACATTTTACGATTGAGTGTAATTCGCGTTGTCCAGCAAATAAGTTGGTGGAAATATGATTTCTACGTAAATAGATAACATATGGAAGCGCAAAAGCGGAGGTTGAATATGCTTGTATATATACGCTTCCATTTGCGTGGTCCCTGGCTTGCGAACAGCTTTCGCGAACAGCGTGACTTCCGGTTCTCTAAACCGGAGGCGGATACGAACCGGAAACACCGACGGAAGGTCGCCGGAAGTGTCGGCGAAGGACATTGTGCAATTGCTTTCAAGATTGCGAGCGCAATTTTTATCTAACTGGAAAAAAAATCGCACTTTTCTATATAGCGTTCCTTGGAAACGCTAAAAAACATGGAAACAAATCCTTCCATTTACTTC